CCAGACTCTTTCCCACTTGTGGTCAAGTGTTATCCTTCCTACCCTACAGCCTTAGAAGGTCTTGCCAGTAAAACTAAAGAGACATCTGCTAGTCTTCATTTTCTTCTTAAAGTAGGAAGAATACCCAATGCCATAATATGGGGATACAAATATACACATAACCCCAATCCTATCTCCCTTCATCTCTCATACCTCGTATTCAAACTATTCAGCCCTTTGGCAGCAGAGATTTGTCTTCCATATATGATCAGCAAATACCATTTGAAGGACATCCATGTGTACAAGGTTCTACCCTGGCTGCTTCAGGAGCTCACTCAGCTTCTCGACTACCCTAGGGTTGCTAATAGGCTAATGAGATAGAAACTTAAATATGTGCACATACACGCTGCACACCTGGATGTGAATTGCTGAGCATTCGGAAATAAATAAGCCTGGTGAGAAAAATCTGTGAAGGAGAGGAGAACAGGGTGGACATAAAACAGTCACTACAACCCTTCAGGTGATGATAAGTAAGTTGCTTTAGGACTTAAACTCCATCATTTCCAAAAGGAATCTGAATTGAAGTGACAAAACAGAATTAAGGCTATAAGTTATAAACATAAAATTAGCCAAAGCATAGAAATATACCTATTTTCAGGTGCCTAGAATGAGGTGGCTATTGCAATTGAGTCCTGTATTTAGCTTGGACCTCCCTCGTGGTTGAAGTTATTGTTTTCACTGTTGTATAACACCAAGTAAGTGAATTCATCCAAAGAGACCAATCTTTCTGATTTCTGGTTCTGATTTTAAGGAATTTATTTTTTGGATGTGATTTTTATGTAACAAATACAGGAAAACAGTAAAGCAATAATCTTCGAGCGTCATTTAGTCAAGAAGCAAAAATAAACAGAGCCTATATAGAACTTTTCTAAAAAGTTTGAACATTCAAACTTATACATGATTATAACTTAGACAAGCCAAAGAAATGTGCACGACTTACTTCTCTCAAGTATCAGGTGTCCTAAACAAGAGCAATGGCAGGCTCACAACTATTCTATGATAACAGCCTTTAAAATACACAGATTCCACCTTTATTAAATATCACCACACACTTTAGACAGTGGCCTGACTCATGTGGACAGAAAGCCAGCTGACTGTAAGTGAGCCTTGGCTGAACTATGTGTACAGCTAAGGAGCTTTGAGCATGCTTTAGGGTATATATATAGCATTTGAAGAAGACACAGCATCTAAGGAATAAGAAACAAAGATTAACCACTGCCGATGCTTTCCTTAAATTGTCCTACTTAGGTAGATATATTTTACCAATAAAAAACAGTGAGGCTCAGAAATGAGGCAATGCCTGTAAGTCACAGAACAAGAGGTGAAGTTGGGATGCAAATAAAGATCTTATTTTGATAATCATGCACTCAGACAACGGATATACCCTTTTTTTGGACTTCACTATCCATACAACTAATATTGCTTCTTTACTTTGTAATATGAAAGTTAAGAACAGCCTGGGTGAGGTTTTTATAGTCTGTTGAATATGACACTGATCCCCCTATGATAGATGTTCATGCATCACCTCCAGATAGTGCTGAACTTGCTGTTTGGTTCTCTCTTAGAGATGAGATGTCATGCACTGCCATTCATCACTAGTGGCACCTACACCTGCACAAATGGGGTACT